CTTTTGTTTTTGTAACAATTTGACTATGATATGCTGATGCTAATTGTCTTTGTATTTATTCTGCTTGAGTTCACTAAACTTCTTAGATCTGTAAGGTGACTTTTTTCAATAACCAAATCTGAGAAATATGAGACATTATTTGCTCATTTTTCTATGCTTCTCCTGTCCTAATTGCGTATACATATTGTAGACTTGGCGTTTTTTCTCATTGGTCACTAAGGATTTATTTGTTTTTCTGAATATTTTTCTTTCTGATTCTTTTACCGTCTCCAGTATGTTGTCAAAATCATTTAGTCAATATTTTATTTTGGATATAATATGGTTAGAATTTTTATCTAGTTATTTTATACAATTTCCATTTGTCTACTGAGAGTCTTTGCACATTCATTTTTTTCTTTAAATCCTTGAATAATTAATTATAAAAGAATGCTTTACTGTTGTCTATGGATAACCTTTTTCTATTTCTCCAAAGGGTGTAGTAATTTGGGGTTATATATTAGAAATTGTATATACATATTACATTGTTGAGATTATGGATCTTGTCATTCTCCTCTGAATAGTATTAATTTTTGTTATAGTAGTCATCATCTGGGATTTGTGGAGGCTTTGTTTGGTTTTGGCCTTAGTTCACAGCAAATCTCTTAATGCTGAGACATAGTCTTTACTCCTAAGCTATGGCCTCTCTGAGGTTTCAACAAAATGCCCAAAAGTTTTCTGAGCTCCTCTAATTCTTCATGACTCAAACTCCAAATTCTCTCTTTACTATGGTGGGCAGCCACTGATGTATCTGCTCAAATTGATCAGGCTTCTACTCACTAATTTTTACTAAGCTGCTTGGAGTCTTCTCCCATTTATATAAAGTTCATGGATCAGATAAGGCTTAGAGAGGTGCTTATACACAGATTTTGGGACCAATCTCCCCTTATCAACCATAACTTTTTCTTATCTAAAACTTACTCCCTTAATTTTTAGCCACTCAGGCTAAAACTCAGTCCCAAACTCTTCCCTGCTGATATATCAAGAAAATACAACTGCAAATTTATGCTTGCATTCTCTCTTCTTATGCTAAAGAAATTGAGAAATGCCTTCATACAAAAACCTGTATAAATGTGAATCTTACTCAATGAAACTGACTTCTTTTGAAGATAAAATTTCCCCCAGTTTCTACCTATTTTAGTCATTTTCCAGTGCATTTTCTTAATTTTTTTCAAATTTATAACTTGAAGGGGGATTAGCTGGATTCAAGCTCCTCCACCACTACTGGCATCAGAAACTCGCTCAAAGGATTCCTCAGCTGAACACGGTTAGCCTTCCCATGCTCATCCCCCAATATACACAGTCATTCGTGTCTGAAGTTAACTCTTCTCATAGTATTTGATTCAGGGTTAAAGGAGGGTTAGTGGGTTTTAAAAATTAATGTGTTTAAGACAGAACTATGTAAAACTTAACTATGTTGGAGCAGTTGGCTATGAACGAGGGATTCAGTGAGAGATAAGATAAACTCCCTTCTCTCTAGGGGCTCGAGTATGTTGCATGGAGCAGATCACCTACATCAAGGTAACTCATGAAGTTCAAGTGTAGCTCTTGCATTCAGAAAAAGAGCACTCAATGTTGGCTTCATGGAGAATAGGATGGTCTTAAGTGGGCTTTATTTCCATTTTTCCCCACTCAATGATGCTGGGATAATTTTTATAAAAATTATTGCAGAGTTTCTTAGTTCCCGCTTTATAATTCATTCAGGTGTAGAGAAGAAAAAAGAAGTATGATTTTTAAATTACCCACTTTCAGAACTTATACCATGTGGCTTGAGAATAACAAAAGCAACACAACCTTCTAGAAAACTTGACTTTAGTGTAATCAAACTTTTTTTTCTTAGACCTTAGTGACAACTCAGCTGTCTCAGGCATATCTCTTTATACTATAGGTATAATAAGTAGGAACAGGTGGAAATGCATGAAAATCCTTCAGTTGGCTTAATGAATGCTCTTGTCATCATGATCTGTGTTGTTTCCACAATTTATTGATTAATCCAATGATTTCCTTTCATGGTCTTGAGATGTTTGATAAGTGGCATCTCCAACTTGGTAGTTTATTAAATGAAATAAGGGCCAGAAAAACATAAGTACCTAGCGAGAATTTTAAACCCTTTGAGAAAATGCAAAACATGAAATGTGCAAGGAATGTAATTTGATTTTATATAACTTGGCTTAATTTTTAACTTAGAACCCAAACTTCGATGAGTTGACAAGAGGGAAAAAAAGCACACAAAGTAAAACACGATCAATCTCAGTCCCTCTGGAGTATCTTTCCTCCCCATTCCATCCTTCTTTTATGCATCGCCAAGGCACGTGCATGTTAGGTGAAAGGAAAGGCGTTTGATCTTCAGTCACTGGTCCATACAGATTACCAGTCAGCATCTATTGTTCCTGCCTCTTCAGGTCTGTTAGCCTTCTGCTGCTTGGGTACCAGGTTTGCAGTATGGAAATCTTTTCTAAGCCTGAGTGCTGCCTAGCCTTCCCATATCCCCAGGAGGCTTGCAGGGAAGCAGGATTAAATGCCATATGTGCTTGCTATGCTTTCAGAACCCACAAAACTTCCTGAGCTCTGTTCTCTTCTTCCAGCACGAGGGAATGTCTTTATAGGCTGATGGAAGAACGGCTGTCCTCATTGCTTCTCTCCAGGGCACTACTTCATCTATGCAGACAAAAGCCAGAGCTATGCCCAACTCATTTTTGTTTGCTACTCCGCCTGTGCCTCTCCTTAGGCAATGCATTGAAAATCTCTGTTTTGGTGGGAAAAAAGAGAAAGGGAGAAAATAGGAAGGTTATTTTAAGATTTTGTCCCACCACACGTACATATGTGCATTCTTAGTTCGTAGTCATATTTGTGCTTTTAAGGGATGGAGTATGCACTATCTCTTCGTTCACAACTCATTTTGCAGTTTTAGTTTCCAAGAAATTTATTTACTATCAAAAAATCTGTAAGAAACCTGTGTGGATGTCATAAGGTATGGTTTTCTCTAAACTCTAGGCTGTATGCTATTCAAGATCTAAATAACAATCATGTTTTCATTGATTTCTGCAGAGCTGAATGCCAAAGGAGCCATTCTCTATGCCTTTGAAATGTTCCGCCTCAAATCCTGTGTGGATTTCAAGCCCTACGAAGGAGAGGACTCGTATATCATATTTCAACAGTTTAGTGGGTCAGTATGAAATTTGACAGAGTGTGAAAATCATGCGTCCTTTGATTTCCAAAAAAGCGACATCGTTTTCAAAGGCTAAAAGAAGAAATCGTAGAGAAACTAAAAGAAAAAAACCAAATATTTCACTGTCAATGTTTAAATTGTGTTCTAACATTTTAAACAAGTTAGGTAGAGAGTGGATTGTTTGTTTGAATAGATCTGGGCCACAGGGAGAGTTGTCTCCCTTCTTCTCTTAGGTTTAGGTTATATTTTAAATTACAGTACTTTTTGAAAAGTGAGGTTTCTGAAAGTATATATTACATTATTTAAGGAATACTGTTCTAAATTATAATGCTGTCTTGGCTGGACCTGTTTGAAAAATCCTAGATATAAATTATTCTTTGTAGTTATTTCTTTCTAAAAACTTGCATGGCACACGTGTACTAAGAAGGAAGCCCCGTTTCTTCAGTGGCATTTATGTCAACCCACGTGGGGTAGAGAGGTCTGGAAGTGAAACCACTGTCTGCTGTGACACTGTGTGTTTGTGTCTTTAAGCCCTGCCTGGGTATTTCTTCACACTGCAGTCTCCATTCCTGCCTGGTTCTGACCATGGGGTTTTGATAATCATGGATGGATAGCAGAATGAAAAAGGGGAGTTAGCACACGATTTAGCCCCTTAGGGAAAGAAAGTATGCAAAAAATAGCGATCAAAACAAGAAAAATACTGATGACTGCTTAGGCATAAGTCAAATCCCTAACTTACCTGAGTATGATTTTCATACCTCATTCTTTTATTTAAAAACAATTAAAAACACCTACTATGTGCCAGGAAGCATGCTAGTCTGCAGGTATGAAGAGGTATGAGATCCAGTCTTAGACCTCACAAGGTTTACAGTTGGCAGGAGGGATGGTGGCAACCACATAAATAGTTTGAGTTCCTGCCAGTGAGTGTCCCGGTCAGCACAGAAGTGGGACCTTTAACAAAGAGCAGGGTGAGGCGTCAGGGGAGCTGAGATGAGTGTAAAGAAATGAGGAAGGGAAACAGTCATGGGGCAGAGGAGAGGGAAAGACACATGGGGGAAATAAGAGAGGGAGAGAGAGGCGGCGCCTGTGGCTCAAAGGAGTAGGGCGCTGGCCCCGTATGTCGGAGGTGGTAAGTTCAAACCCAGCCCTGGCCAAAAACTGCAAAAAAAAAAAAG